TGATCCCTCATCCTGGAGGTCTGAACTTGAAGAAAAGCCATTGCAGATAGAAGACAGATGATCAAAGCCCTTTGCCTGAAGATCATGAAGATGGAGATTGATGCTTGTTAAAGCTCATGAATGATTGGAAATTACTTGAAGCCAGATGTTGATTCAGAGCTGCTGATGCTGTTTCTTTTGCTGATGTATTTCATTGTTGATGTATTGATTGGTTTTCCGGACTGTATTGTTTGTTGTTTACCCTGTTGGGTTGAAAGTGAAGTCTGTTCACTTTTGCCTATTGTTTTCTAGGTTCGAGGTTGAGTGGGACTCCCTTGCCTCGCTTGTACTGTTGCATCCATGCATTTTACTGTTTTACTATATATATCTGATATTGTTTCTGTTTCTGCCTATCCCGTAGGATCTCTGTTTCTCTCTGTGCAAGAGAGGAGCATGATAGACACTAGGTCTTAACCCATGCATGATAACATTAGGTTAGTTCGTTTCCCTTCGCAACCATAGGTTAGAGTTCTATCTCTTCTTCCTCAAAAACAAACAGAAAATACAATAAAATTTCAAACACAATAAAAGACACTTCTTCCGTAAAAGAATGTAAACTCATCAAAACGTCATTTTTGTCCGCTGGGACTGTTAATCAGAAAACCCTTTTTCAGAAGGAATAAAATCAATCAAGGCAGACTTGTGTCGTACGTGGCCCGAACTACGTTTGCTCTGATCTTTCATGCTGTATGAAAGTACGTAGGCATAGGATGCGATATCCTAGCGAGCAACCTTCCCCTCCTTTCCCGTAGGTAGGCGAACTACGTTGACTCTGATTTCTCGTTCCAGGCGGGAATACGTAGGCATAAAGTGCGATACTTTGCCGAGTCATTTTTATTTTTTATTTTTCATTTTATTTTCTTTTAACCCCTGACCTGTAGAGTAGATAGAATAACAATCCATATCCGAAGACAAGCGTGGATCCCGTCGAGTACGACGGACGTGAGGGGTGCTAATACCTTCCCCTTGCGTAACCGACTCCCGAATCCAGGTTTTGGTTGCGACGACCATACCTTTCCCATGTTGTGCGAGGTTTACTCTGAGCGTTCCCTTTCCCTCCCGTGGGATAAATAACGCACGGTGGCGACTCTTCTGTTCAGCCGGCGCCGATTTTCGCAGTAGCGACAAGAGGCAACCTTTGAATGGAGGGAGGAATGTGAAAAAGCCCTTCTTCACCTAAAATGAGCGCTATCGGAGCCACCCGTCCTCTCCCGGCCAGATAACAGCGAGACCATCTATCTCTATCTCGTCGTTGCAACAGAAGCCGTTCGCGTCGCCCTCATTTGCGAAACTCCTGAGGGGCAGAAGCTCATATACATCACAAGTAAGGCGCTACAAGGACCAAAGATTAGATACCAATAGATTGAAAAAGTAGATCTGGCTCTCATCAACGTTGTAAGGAGGTTGAGGCAGTACTTTCTAGCCCACACAATCATGGTGCGCACAAATCAGCCCGTGAGGCACTTGTTAGGCCGCCCAGACATGGCCGACAAAATGCTTAAATGGTCACTGGAACTGTCTGAGTTCGACATCCAGTACGAGATCAGGAAAGCCTTCAAAGTTCAGGCGCTGGCCGATTTCGTGGCGGAGATGACCCTACTAGACTCCCTGACTTGCAGAGCTAGCAGGTGGACAATCTTTGTCGACGGAGTGTCCAGCTCAGCAGGGAGCGGAGCAACAATCATCCTAGAAAATGGGGAGGGTATCCTCGTTGAGGTCTTGCTTACCCTGTCTTTCCCCACCTCCAATAATCAGGTAGAGTATGAGGCCTTCCTTGCAGGTCTGCGCTTCGCGGAAGACCCGGGTGCCGAGGAAGTCATAATCTGCACGGATTCTCAGCTCGTGGCCCTCTAGGTACGGGGAGAGTACCAGGCCAAGAATGAAAACCTATCTGAATACTTGACCTTGCTCAAGGAAAAAATGACGAAGTTCACGTTAGTGGAGGTAAAGCACGTTCCCCGCAAACACAATGTCCGGGCATATGACCTGTCAAGGCTGGCGAGCACAAAGAAATAAGGAGGGAACAAGTCTGTCATCTAGGAGGTACTTCCTCGACCTAGAATTGAGAGAGCTCCCACGATCCTCGACGTGTACGTCATTGGCGACAACAACTACAGGATGACCCCAGTCTACAACTATCTCGCCACCAAAGGAAGCCAGCATGGTGGCGCATACAATGTCCGGGCATATGTCCTATCAAAGCTAGCGAGCACAAGGAAAAAAGGAGGGAACAAGTTCGTCATCCAGGAGGTACTTCCTTGACCTAGAATTGAGAGAGCTCCCACGATCCTCGACGTGCACGTCATTGGAGACAACAACTGCATGATGACCCCAGTCTACAACTACCTCAACAAGGAAGAACTACCATTTGATCCAAAGGAAGCCAATGTGGTCGACCTGTTCCTATTTCTTGGTCAAAAATAAGCTCTATAGCCGAGGGTTCTCCATTCCTCTCCTAAAATGCATTGAGGAAGAGATGGTCACTCAGGTCCTACGCGAAATCCATGAAGGGATCAACTCCCAGCACCTCTGAGGGATATCCCTCTCCAAGAAAGCCCTACGAGTAACCTGAGGGCAAAAAAATGACATTCTGCTTTTGAGTAACCACTTACTTGATCAAAAATGGAAAAAATAGGCTAAAGTTGTGCAGACTAATCGGTTACCCTATATAGAGTAATTGATTACCACTGTAACAGTGGCAAAAACAACTTTTTGAAAATCAGTTTTTACAACCAAAAGATTTCCCCAATCATCCACATGCTATGCTTGACATTTGTGCACGAAAAATGAAGTTCAAAAGCACTTAAACATCAATTAATCATCAACGGGAAGCATTAAGCATGGAGAGCAAAGATCAAGAAATCACATGATTAAGAAAAATAAAAAAACGATCGAACTACATCGTAAACGCGCGAAATAGATCGAAATGGTAAATCGAGTGAAAGATAACCAACCTACAAGGCTGAGGTTTGCCTTGGATATTGTTGATATTGATATATGATGAGAAGAAGTAAATAAAACCAGTGAATTCATAATTTGCAACCGAACCGTAGCGAGAACGAGCAAATTGCGGCGAAATCTCCAAATACGAAATTGCACTGAATAAGCTTGAAGTAATCACTTGAGATGAATCAAAAGCCAATAAAACTCCAGAAGATAGAGTATAATCACTTCCAATGAAGAAGTTGCTACTCTTTAATGGAGGATTTGAGCTTTAGTGAGGTTTTGGGAAGATGATGAGATGAATGTGCAAAGGTTGCAGAAAATTCAGAGAGAACGTGAGAGGATTGAGAGTGATCAATGGAGAGTTTGAAGAAAATGATTGAGCCCTTGTGAAATAATGGAACCCCCATGTGATGAGATAGTGATTCCCCTTTGTGAAATGGTGGTGATTTGCTTATATAGAGTTTTGCTTCAGAGTTTCTAGGTTCGGAGTGAGCTTTGGGTGTAGCCTCAGAATTAGCCTTGGAGTTAGTTAGGCTCCAATCACTGAGTTGGAGGTTAACTCAGTTAGTTAGGTAGTTGACTCGATAACCATCCCAATGCAAGTTGAAAATCTAATGGTTCACATGCTTGGAAACAAAGGTGTATGGTGGTCTTGATTGAAAATGATGTATTGGAGCAAATACCTTGAAGTGTCTTGAATGTTCTTGAAGTCTCTAGAATTGTCTAGAATGTTCCACACAATGTTAGAACCAAATAGACCCATAAAATGTAGAAAGAAAAGTGGCTGTCACAAAAATGCAGCAAAATCTGCATTTTTACACAGAGTAACCGGTTACTTTGTTTTGCCTAGAAACTGGGTAACCGGTTACTTCAGGCAAAATTTGCATATTTTGAAAAATGGTGTTGTGGCCGCAGTTTCGATTTTCGACCTTTTGATCTGATGAATAGGCATAGAAACCTTCATTTTGTGATTGTTTTGATAATGTGATATCTTTGAGAGGATGTGATTAGTTGGGCTTGCAAAACCTGAATATTCCTGCAACAGAAATCACAGAGAAAAATGCTAATGCGTATGTCAGCGAGGCGAATGCACATGCTTATGCTAAAGGCAAGAAGGAGGTCAAATTTCGGGTTACGACACTCGGTGACAACAAAAGACGTGGAAGACATGAGCATCTTTTTGGCTTGGAAATGGTATCTTGGTAAGTCCATGGAAAACTCACATGCCTTCTCGGTCTGGCTTGAAAATCATATCCTATTTCTAAACCAATATAGATGCGGGTGGTTTTGACCTCCATTGGATGTGTTCTTGTTACGTTCTTTGTGGTTTCGGTGCTCCTTCAAGTGTCCTTGGGTTGGAGAGCTCTGGCTTTGTCTGATGCTGGTCTTTTCTGTGTGTTTCTATCATTCTATCTTTGTTTATGATCCTCCCTTTTAGTGGTTGGGGTTGTTATAGCTGGTAGTCTTTACTATGTTTTTTCTGTTGATTTTGATCCCGAATTTAGTATTCCTTATGCGTTTTTCTTGGGGATCCTTTGTACCTTGGTCATAGAATCTGCCTTTTCTTATATTTATATATCACTTTTTCCTTTAAAAAAATGTAACTGACAAGAAAAAAAATTACTTTTGCATGTATTAAATTAGAATCATCTAAATACATCGGTAGAAATCTTAGAAAGCAAAGTTTCTAACACAGTCAAAAGCTAAATATACTTGTCCAACTACATTTGACAAGCAAAATCTTAAACTTGAGCAAGATCACTCACGTTTTGTTATGTAACTTCAAATTTTGAAATTTGTATCATGATTTTATCATCAAATTTTTATCATACCATGAAATGAAATACATAATTAACTTGTTTCAGATTTATATTATTGATTCTTTAGACCCATTTTGAATAATTAAGCTAATATTATTATTGAGAAATACAACTTTTTATTACAATAATACTCAAAGTAACATTCTTTTTTGCCAACATAACGAAACACATGGATGTGTAAATCTAATCTAATTTTTAGAACTCAATAATTTCATCTATATAGCCATCTTGTTCTTTCCTTAAATTACTTATATTGTTGTAAACTTCAAGCATTGTTGGCCTTTGGTTTGGTAAAGGCTTTACACACTCACAAGCAATCTTTAGAAGAGTACAAACTTCTTTGTCAAGTCCTTCACCAGTCAGAGATTTATCAATTACATTATAAAAACTCAAAGGGTTACCACACATATTAGTAGTGTCATATGAATGAGACAATTCATCATAAGGTTTTCCCATAATCAATTCAAAAAGCACACTTCCAAAGTCATATACATCTTTCTTCCCATCATTCACTTTAAATATCACCCCTAGATGATCTTCAATGCTGGGATTCATAAATTTTGCTTCCCCGAAATTAGATATTTTGGGTTCAAAATTTTCATCTAGCAATATGCATTCAGAACATATATTAAAATGCACTATGCACAAATCACATGTATGATGTAACCATGATAATCCTCTTGCAATTCCAAGTGCAATTTTGACCCTATCATGCCATTTCAATCTTATGACTTCACTTTCTAAAGGACGCAACCATTTGGAAAGCCTTCCATTTGACATATATTCATATGTCAAAATTCTTTCCTTTCCTTCAATACAGAACCCAAGCAAGGGAATTATATTTCTATGTCTGTATTTGCACAAAATCCTTGTTTCTAAAAGGACCTGCCTTTTAAAATTTTGAAAGTGAAATAATCTCTTAACAGCTAATAACTTACCATTAGGCATAAATCCTTCGTACATCATTCCCATTTTTCCTACCCCAATGGCATTGTCAATAGTGAAACAATCTGTTGCGTCACGTAGTTCCTCCAGCCATATTGTTGAGGTCAAACTTTCACATAATGCAGAGATCTACGAATGCATTTGAAAAATTATTTTACATTGTTAAACTATAAAATATAAATAATACATGGTTTGAATAGATTGAGTACCTCTTTGTTTTCTTTGCATGTCAAACGCATAGGTAACAATTCATGTATTTGATTAACTACCATCTGTTTCATCATGCTAATGATGGAGTAAATATATTTTCCCACTTCTATAGCTTTGTTTAGGTAATTGTTTTTCCTCTTCTTCAAATGATGCATCCAACGCGCACATTTGGAGTAAAACATAAAAGTGATCATAACAGAAGAAATGATTGAAAAAACATAACCAACAATAAGACCATTCTTAAACGATTGATGGAAATCTTCTTGCATGTCACGTGCCAAGGAGCAACGTCTCAATGACCCCCCACAAACTCCATTATTGTTAGCATAACTAAAATTTACCTTTCCTGAAAATACCGGCATCGACCCTGACAGATAGTTGTTAGCAAAAGAAATCTCTTTAAGCCTAGGAAGGGATTCAAGTTGTTTGGGAATTTCACCGCTTAACATATTATTGTTAAGTTTAAGAGAATTCAAGTAAGTGCAATTTGCAAAAGAAATTGGAATTTCACCAGAAAACTTATTGTTGGAGAGATCAAACTTCGTAACATATCTGAGTAAGATTGATATATCAGATGGGATGGTTCCCGAAAACTCGTTGTTTGAAAGGTCTAAACCTGTCATTGAAGAGCAATTCACAATCCCTCGTGGAAACTGACCCTTCAATCCCATATTAGATAGTTCAAGATTCAATACTCTATTTTCATGAGGATGCCAACAAACAACACCAACAAAATCACATATGAAACCTTCTGTTTCGTTGTTGAAGTTCCAGCTTTGAAAGAAATTATTTGGATCTTGGATTGAATTCTTAAGTGATTTTAAACAGTAAATATCAGTTTCGGTACTCTGACTTGTCATTAAGATACCGAGCAAAGAGCACAAGAAAGTATACAAGAGAATATCAATTTTTATATGAAAAGTCATTTTGTGCAGATACATAAGCTGAGAATCTGCAAATATAGAAAAAGAAAAATGAATTAAAATTAATTAACACTAATGATACCAAAATTAAGACTAGAGTTGTGTTGGAATCTTACCAGAGTAGTCGTCACTAGAAAAAGCTCCTTTTGATTCAACTTCTATACCGTAATGAAAACATACCCACAAATTGCCATTAACACAGTGAAAAATATTTGCAAAATTCTTGATCCACTTAGATATGGAGATTCTTCTTTCTTATATTCAATATAAATTATTTCTTAACGCGATTATCATTGACTTTGTCATTGACGCCAGTAGTTTCGTGGAATCAGTCCATCACTAATTGTCCGTCACAGTGAATCAATTTCATTCCATATTTAAAAAACACCATAAATATCTCTAAAATTGAAGTCTGCCAAATATCAAGTAAAATAATCATTGTATATCAAAAATTCATTTTGTCTAAAATAGTTTTGAGAATTACTTTTTGATTACGAATAATTTAAGAGTACGTTAAAGTAACTAATTTTAAGGATTTTTTATATTAAAACAATGAATAAAGGTCACCGCAATATTTGTACTTCACAAGTAATTTGTATTAATGAAAGATTTCAAGTTAGTTGATTTAAAATTTCATAATTGTTATGTTTTGATGTAATAATTTTTACCTGTGGTTATTTGTGACATCCTTCTAAAAAAATATAAGAGTAATTATAATTCGCGTGTGTTTATTCTTCAATGTTATATGCAATAAAGTTTTATTTTAAAAAATTAGATGAATTAGAAGATGAAACTATAATAATATTGGGTCAATTGAAGATGTATTTTCCTCCATCATTTTTTGACATTATGGTTCACTTACTTGTTCATCTAATCAGAGAAATTAGATATTGTGGTCCAGTTTATTTAAGGTGGATGTATCATATAGAGCGATACATGAAGGTATTTAAAGGATATACGATAATCATTACTGGTCGGAAGCTTCGATCGTTGAAATATACATCATAGAAGAAGCTCTTGAGTTTTGTTCAAACTATTTGTCGAAAACAGAGTCTATTGTAATTCCAAAGTCTCTTCATGCTGACAGATTTGACGGTAGTGGTACTCAAAGTTTAAATGTTAAGTCAATGGGGCAGGATGTAGTACTTTAAACACATTTCTATATATTGAATAATCTTAGTGTAGGTGAACCTTACATAGCTGCTTACAAAAAAGTTATAAAGAAAAAGTATCCCCGAATGAATGACAAGTTGTTGTTGACACGACATAACAAGGAACTCATAAGTAGGTTTAATATGATGATTTATAATGATGATTGTGCATCTGAGACAGTTAAATAGTTATCGTATATGCCAAAATTTATTGTGATAACTTGGACGACATACAACATTTCTAATTATTCCTTTTATATAAAAGGAAAAGATGATCGTAGTACAATGCTAAATCGTGGGGTTATGGTTGAGGCGAATCCATGTATTTCTCTAGTTCGAAAGATAAGAATCCTATTTTAGCAACCACCGCATTCTATAGTTTCGTTGAGGAGATTTTGGAGATTGATTATGTTACTTTTAAAGTGTCTTTATTTAAATGCAAATAGATTGCCAATAACAAAGGTATACAAATTGATGAGTTAGGATTCACACGGGTTGACGTTGACAAGACAACTTATAGCACCAAACCACTCATCATGGCTACTCAAGCAAAACAACTTTTTTATGTGACAAACCCTGCAAACTTTTTGAGGAGATGATCCTTTTTTCTCAAAGGAAAACATATTCCTCCTAGTGATGATGAAAATGCTGATATTTCTTCCACTCCTTATGCAACACAAATGCCTAGATCATATGAAGAAGTTGATAGAGATGATGTACATATTATTCGTAACGATCATCAAAAAGACATATGGGAAAATTAAAAAGTAAGTATTTTATATTCCTTATTCATAATTTATTGTATGTTATAATTACTTATGATGTTATTTTCTAACAACTATTATTTGAAATTTTAGGCTTGGAACTTTCCGCAATTGCACCAACCTCTATCTAGTTCGACCTAATAGTATCCCTTTGGCATCCCCTCATTATGGTCCACTGTCTCATCTACATTGAACCAACATTTATAAAGGTCGGACATTGTACCACATGTGTGTTAGTTTTGGTAGTTACCTCTTTAATAATTTTCATAGACGTTTTACTGAACAACTGTCCCGATTGTAACATTGAACTCTATTTTGAACGTATGATAAAAAAAGTAACCCTAACTTAAAAAAGGCTGCTCTCACCAAAGACGCTATCAGTATGTTTCAGATGCCTTTGAATACATAGTTCATTGATTCCACGAGATGTGGCCCCGTCGTTGACCATTGTCGAATGCCATTTTCCACTTCTCCACTAGAATATTATTGATCCACCTTACCCAGCATTCATAACTTTCTTCCGAAGCGTATTGTCTTTGATCTTCTGCATGACATTTTGAGTGATATGTCTAATAGAGTAGACACACGTCAAAAAAGGATCTTGCTAACCGTTATAAGGGTTTTTGTATGAACTCTTAATAGATAGATGTCTGGATGAAATCAATCATAAATTAGGTTGTGGAGCAACTTGTAATCGAAGATTTTTCATAACATGAAACAACATTGTATATTTTGACTCGATTCGCATGCAATTTAGTGTCATTTTTATGTGTTTTTGTTGCTTTGATGTCGGTATTGATTAATTGTTGCATGTATTTATCGAAGAGAAGTGTTCGTGCGAGAAAACGGAAAAAGGAGCAAGAAATGAAGGAAATAGTGCAGAAAATTCCATTTTCTGGTGTATGGTGTTCGCCACCACCTCATGGCGTTCGCCATACACCCTTGCAGCCATGTAATCCATATTTTAAGGCCATGGCGTTCACAATGGAGGCATAATGCAAATTTTTCAAGAATCGAAGTTGTTAATTCTTAGGCCACTTTCCTACTTCTTCTCCACTAATTCTACATGACCTAAGGACATTTTCTAGCAGCCTGCTACTATACATTGACAATTTTCATAGAATTTTGACATCCAAGTTTGTACGCATAAGTTTTATTTTTAGTTTTTAAGCAGATATTACCTTTCAAAGAGATAGAGCTCTCACATTGAGTGACTATCACACCATAGTTCTTAGAATTTATTGTATGCTTGGATCAATTTTAATCATGCCGACATTTGAAGTTTTATTTCGTTTCGTTCACTGTACTCGGAGTTTATTCTCGCATTAGTTCTAGTTTATTGGGTTCTTTATATTATTGTTTTTTATTCCTACTTACTGCCTTTTAATTCAATTTCTACGTTGCTTTTAATTTCAACGATCATGAATTTTTTATTTATGTCTAAAACTATGTCCGACTAAATCCCCTTGAGTTCGGTTTGTAAGGATCGTCGTTCCGACGAGAATCGGTAATACTTTGGCGTAATTTTCTACAAATTATTTTCTGGTTTCGATTTTAAATTTACATTTTAAAAGGTTTTGCGCGATAGTGAAAACATTAAGGTTCCAAGTCAATAGCGCGACAATGTGAGGCTTGGATCGGATAGTAAAAATTAGACATAAATTTTAAATACAAAGACAATGCTTCAGGATTAATTAGGACTTATAAGTTTTCAAAAAGTATTTTCTGATCTAAATGGGTGAGCGACAGTAAAATATTTATGGTCTTGGATATAGCTAGAGTCAATAGCACAACAGTGTGGGATAAAGGTTTTTAAACTAATATTTTCTGCTGAGAAATAATTTAATACGTAACATACCCCAATGAATTATTGACTCCCCGAGGTGCGTTGGAAAACACATTCTGTTATCTCATTTCTATATATTTTCTAAACTTTATTTCAACTTTGATTCTAGTTTTAGTTCCCCTTTTATTTAAAAACCTCATTAGGCTTAGATTTACATAGCAGTGATAGATAGTTATACGTTTGATTATTGGTCTATGTGGGTACGATATCTTTTAAAACTACACGATACAAATGTGCACTTGCAGTTAATCTGATACACTCACCAAAGTATGCATCAAGTTTTTGGTGCAGTTGCTGGAGACCAATTTAGTTAATATCGTAGCTTCGTTATTGCGACGTATAGACTAAGGCAACAAATTTCCCCTTAATTCATCGATTGAATGCCAAGAGCTTGCTCACAAGGCAAAGTTTTAGAGAAACCGATTGACAAGATCGAGCATTTTTTAAATCTAAGACGCCGAATTAAAGTGTACTGATTAAGATATAACATCTCTGATCCTGATATCCCATAATAATCAGGTATGACTAATGTTGCGGTTAGAATATGATATCAAATTATTAATTAATTTGAATCACATCTTTAGTTCACAACCGCTCTTTGATTTATCCGAAGGAAAAGGTCAAAAGAGGGAAAACCTAATTTTGCATCGTGAAGACAATGCAGGGAGAGATCTAGGTAAGGGGTTGGTTAAGCTTAGGGAAGGTACTAGCACCCTAAACTTCTGTAGTACTCTACAGGAACCTTTTGTTTATTGTATGCTTTTTTTATTTTATTATCTGTTTGAAATATATTGCTAAGAGATAGAGTGACCTAAAAGACCTAAGGGTTAGTCCTAAGTTTACTCGGCAAGACATGAATGTAATTTACGCGAGGCCATGGTCGTGGTTTATTTTTTATTTCGCATTTTTTGGGGATTTGTAATTTACGCGAGTGATCGTCACGTCGCTTTTTCCGCTTTCTTTACTTTTCGCACTTTAATCTTGCCGTATAATAATTTGCCGTATTTTTCACGTTTAGTCGTTAGAATCCTCCCGAAGGAATTAGGTTTAGCCGTTTGACCGCCGAGTCAATAACCCTAATTTCAACCGTTTCAAAACCCTAATATCTTAGGTGTCCCGCCGTGGAAGAAAATGCCCTTTACCCTAGCATTAGGTCAAAGAGTCGTCGTACTCTGTTTAGGGTTTCCAGTCGTGGAACATTTAGTCAACCCTAATTTCAACCCTAATTTCAATTCAACTTTTCAACATAAAAATAGG